CCATGGATTTCGCGCGGCCATTTTTTTCTCCCGGTTTTCTTTCGTGCCAAGCACGACCAGGGGCAAAGCGAAATAGGGACTAGTCGTAGTCTAGGTATATTAATAATTACCTCTCCATTCAAGTGAAGCGTACCTCTCAAGATTACATCAATGAATTGACTATTTGAACTTTGAACCTGCTAGTTGTTTCAAGAACGCAATAATGAATTGATTATTTGAACCCGCTAGTCGTGCGAGGAATATGGCTAACGGGTCAATATAAAAAAAAAATCAAATCATTTTTGCATTCTTAAAACAAACTAGTGGGTTCAATATTCAATTCATTAATTCACTATCGAGTGGTACGCTTCAATTGGTTTGACTGTAAAAACGAAAAAAAAAAGGTAGCAGTGCTCAGAGTCCTTGTTTCATTTGGGCCACGAGGCCGGCGAAAGGCCAGGACGAGAATGACAGTAAATTAAAAATCTTTGCATGCAGGGATCCAACGAGCATCTGGTTGATTGACACTTTGATGGACAACTTGTGGAATAGCTTGGTCAGCCTCCATTTTTTTCTATCGTGCTCACGAAGAAAAATGACCATTATTCTGCGGAAAAATTTTGCAAAATATTAACTCAGATCTTTGAATTAATAAACCGTAAACGAATGTGCCTTGGGCCAAAAAAGATGGTGCAAGCCCGGGATGAAACAGCTAAGAATTACTCTAATGAGTCGAGTAGAAACCTTTCTAGGGACCAAAATTTATATGTCAATAAGTCTTTCAACGTTATACCTTGATATACTCCATGACGTAAAATTCTTGGCCCATGATTGTCTTGTCCTCACAGAAGAGATACGTTTTAGGCACTGGAAAAGAAGTTTCCCCCAGGGCAGACATGATTTTGTACTCAACGTCGACCTTTGAATTAACACCGTTGATAAGAAATTAGGTTCTGCAATTAGGAACTCATGTTCCCACTCTTCATTTTCATCCCTTAGGAATTGACAATAAGCAACTTCAACCAAGCGCAGTCGCGGTTTGCCGAGAATTTCCAGCCTTCCATACTGACCATAAGCCAAATAATGTGATATAGAACATACTTAGTGCTAACAGTCCATTGTATCATGTGCTAGGTGAAACCGAGAAATGTTTAGAACTGACTACAAAACGACCATCTCAAGAAAGAATGTGACGACTTACGCTTGGCACGATACCAGCCGCTGATCGAGAGAAAAAAACGGACTCAAGAGAGCGGCGGGAATCGAGCCCAGACTTGCTCAAGAGTCTTCGACATCGCAAACTTGTCTCTTATAACTTTGAAAATTCAGCTCTAGTGACCGACAAAGACCTGAATCATGGCTAAATCAAATAGATGGCTGATAACCATTTTAAGGACGTTAAAATGGACAGTAAAGTGATATAAAACACCCAGGCGATATAAAAGAGCCCCTCAATCATTCAAGAAAAATACGCTGTACCTTGTGATAACCAATGTAGACCTGCACTGGAGACTTGTGCCGTAGCACGAACTCTTTGCCATTTTTTCGAAGTAAAAAGGTCGGATTTGAGGTTCCAGCCCTTTGTTATTCAAGAATGAAAATATAAGTAAGTATCTCCTAAAGTTATTGTGTGATAGGAATATGGGACGTCGTTTGGGGACATCAAGCAACGGTCCCTCCGCCAGCCCCAACCCAGTCCCAACATCATGAAGAACACAGCGTTGTGTAGCACAGTGTAGGTGACTCGAAAAAATTAATTTTATCATAATAGCTCAAGTAAGCCACCCTGCCTGTAGAGTCGCCTCGATCTTTTCCATTCTCTCCCCAGAAATGCTTGTCCCTCTTAGCCGTAGGGGCTCTGGCACGAGGGAAACGTGGCCCCGGAGACATTATGTTATTGGAGTACGATTTTCACAAGTTTCACGCTGTTTCCATCCAGAAAATATTTCTGGTCGATCTCTGACTGCTACTGTTCGATCATAGCACCTTCAGACCTGATGTAGCACGCTGTTTAACCAACCCGAGCGCGCGTTATTTAACAAATAGCTTCCATGGTGCGTGCGTCTCTTCAGTATTGGTAAAAATCTACCAGCATTTTATCACGAATGCCGTTCTCTGCCGCATTGGCTACGCTACCCACTATAAGATGGCCGCTTGTTTGCGTAATCGAAGTGTCTGTGAAGAGAATTTTGATAAAGTTTCGAACGACTCGTAGATTATACTAGATTACTCGCTGTCGATTTCTACATGTGATAGTTGACTCGGGCCGCGCCTTCGTACATCTTTTTAAAACAGCTAAGTTTTTGCTGTAGTTTGACTCCTTGAAACTTCACCTGCAATTTTCTCAAAACCCTCCCACAATTTTATATTTAAATTTTACCGTCGCTTAGGCAACTATGTCAAGTCGTAGATCGCAACATCGTATGTATGAGGCCATACTGTTACCATGGTAATTCGCATCTTGGTAAAACGTATGTCATTTGTAACTTCATGACACCAGTAACGTTCGATTTTCTGTTGGATTGATAGTCTCTTAAAGTTGAACAGTATCGTTACTCCGTTCGAACCACCTTAATTCGTCTTTTACCATGACACTCAGTACTTCGTAGAACTTAACGAAATGTTTGTACTTTCTCTAACTAAAAAAGGTTAAAAGACGAAATTAAAAAAACAAAATCCCGACAATGTTGAACCCAAAATAACTAATAATTTGCGTGAAAAAACGTATCACAAGACAGCACGACCATGCGACATGCTGATATAGTTCGGGCGTGCACGATAGGATTTTGAACGGTTGCGAGCAGAGCTAGGTTTCCTCTCGTCTCTCACCGAGCAGAGTTGAAAGAGAAGAGAATATCTCTGTCTCGCAGGGTATTGCTCTCTACGTAAACAATATCACAGAACGTGTTTTAGCCTACGTGTAGCCGTACCCACCCCCCGAGGAAAAACGGGAGGGAGGGAACGTCCAGTAGTTGCGAGCAGTTATATTTTGACGAATCAACGGCTATCAGTTATAAGGTGATGTTACAATAATTAGTATCACACAAACACCTAGTCATTGTTGAACAAGAGGTGGTTATAAAAGGTTACCATAGCAACAGCAAAAACAGCGCTTAAGGGATTATAACTCAAAAAAAGCCGGGGACCCCTACATTTTGTCATGGAATTGTAATAAGCACGATTTTATGAATCTTTTGACAGCGGCTTAAAAAAAAATCTGTCGAAATGGTTGTGAGCCAACTTCATATCCTTTTTCTTTTTTTAAATAAGGTGGTCCTCGACTAGACGTTAAAACTTAGTTTCCGACACATTTAGTAACTCCAGCATTTTATTATGATTGACAATGTCACGTAATAGGAGCATACCAGTGGCGGATCTAGGGGAGGGGCCCGGGGTGCTTATTTTGAGTAAAACAAAATCGCAGAAGGAAGAAAAGCCGGTAGGGCAAGCAACCCGCTTTAGCTCAAGGTCTGGATTCGCCACTGCATGGAAATATTATGAGGGCTACTGCCGAGCTTCAGACTTTCGAGTGGACACTCTTGCGGGTTTTAACTTGCACCAGAAAAAAGGAAATGACCTCCTGCTTGCACGTTTTTCCACGTTTTATCGTTGTTGTTGTCGTTGTTGTTGTTGTTGTTTTCCATCCGCTCTATCAAACCACATTTCATTTAACAAGAAGAAAATGACAACGAGAAAAACTGACCAAAATGAATGCAAACATATAGTCAAAAGACTGAAATTTAAGGCCATTTATTAGGTATCCATCGTTGGCTATTTTTAAAATTTAACAAGCAACAATTTTATTCACGGAATCATTGTTAAGTCACAACTGTCAGGGGCCCGCAAAGGATCTGTTCCCCAAACGATTTCGTACTGGCTGGGAAACCCATGGCCACTCACCGAGGCTAACCTGACCGTAAGCGGGAGTCTGGTTGTTACTCGTGGGTTGTAGTTTGTGACTGATCAAATTTTTCTTTATATTCTGTCAGTTTTTCCCCGACCACTATTCTCCTCTCCCCATCCACTTCAGATTTAGATATGATCCTGGAATCCCCACTCCCTAGTTTGCCGTGCTGTGAGCAAATTTGGGTGATGGGTCTGCCGACAGGCAACTTCTTGCAAGGAAATTAGTTTGGAAGCAGAAGTTGAAACATTCCTGCTGGGAAATTGCCAGTAACTAAAGGATAACGCTTATATGTTGGTTATGTCGTCACAATGATGACCTCAGATGAGTTGTGGCAAATGAGCTAGTTGGGAGACCATGAACTGTATTCCAAAATGCGAAAGCACAATGTATATCTTATATTCTGAAACCCGTTAATAATCCATCAAGTTAAATCGAAGAAAATCACAACCGTGAAGGAGGTCTGGATACCCGGTCTTAATTAGCATAGATTTTGACGATTTTACTTCTCCGTTTACTCCTTAGTTTTTGTTTCGATGAGAAGATATATCAAACACTCGAGACAGTGTTTCATCGGCTATCCAACATGACATCCCATTTTCGTCAAAAATACTCCGCTCCGCGTCGTATTTTCAACTCTCTTCTCGGTGTTTGGAAATCCCGATGAAACATTGTCTCTCATGTTTGATATATTACTTCAAAAGCTACAGATCAAAATGAAGTAAGTGTTATGCGCCGGAAACCAAATTCACGAAACTCTCCTAAACTAGAATACATCGTTAAGTATTGCCAGCTGTTTCAACACTGTCATTGATACTTTAATTTAAAAACATGTTCATGCTTTCGTCAACGTCCCCATGATCACTTCAAAGTCTCTCAGCTATTAATCTAAATCATTTTTCTATATAGGATGACCTTCCATGTTTGAATACCCTCCCCACCCTTGCTACGGACAGACTAGCGTGTTAATCATGCTCTTGCTGGCTTCTTTCTCTAGGTTTATACAGTACTGCATGCCCATTTGCCTTTTCTAAGCGCATTGTTATCTCGTATGGTGAGATCTGCTTGATGGAAGAACTGCTCTGTGGCTTTTGAGCTGCTTTAGTATCTGAAAACAATAAAAGGAGAATACATGAATAGGTCAAACAACGTTTCTCCATGTAAACAGGTCCATAGTTATAGTCAGCGATTACGCGTCGAAAGTGTAAAACGTAGCGAGATCTCGTAGTCTTGTAAACCTTCAGACACGTGTATATTTACGGTCTGTAGACGCGTTTACCCCGCCTTTCATCCACACACGACATATATCATGAATTCCGTTAATGCTTTCTTATGTGGCTGTAATTTCGTAAACGTAGATGGACAACATGAATATGAAACTATGCAAATGATGGTGCGACTCACAATCTTGGCACATCAAGTAACCTATCCATGCTCAGTGTCAGTCTCTACCCAGTCTTCACCGTTTAAGATTCTTTTTGCCGTTCCTCTATGGACACGCGTTGCCGGTCGGTAAGCGAATGCCGAAGTCGTGCACCAAAGCAAAAACGAAAACAAAAGCAAAAAAAAAAATCATAGCCGTTCTTCTATGGACACGCGTTGCCGGTCGGTAAGCGAATGCCGAAGTCCTACGAAAAAGCAAAAACGAAAACAAAAGCAAAAAAAAAAAATCATAGCCGTTCTTCTATGGACACGCGTTGCCGGTCGGTAAGCAAATGCCGAAGTCGTACGAAAAAGCAAAAACGAAAACAAAAGCAAAAAAAAAAAATCATAGCCGTTCTTCTATGGACACGCGTTGCCGGTCGGTAAGCGAATGCCGAAGTCCTACGAAAAAGCAAAAACGAAAACAAAAGCAAAAAAAAAAAATCATAGCCGTTCTTCTATGGACACGCGTTGCCGGTCGGTAAGCAAATGCCGAAGTCGTACGAAAAAGCAAAAACGAAAACAAAAGCAAAAAAAAAAAATCATAGCCGTTCTTCTATGGACACGCGTTGCCGGTCGGTAAGCGAATGCCGAAGTCGTACGAAAAAGCAAAAACGAAAACAAAAGCAAAAAAAAAAAATCATAGCCGTTCTTCTATGGACACGCGTTGCCGGTCGGTAACTGGCAAATGCCGAAGTCGTACGAAAAAGCAAAAACGAAAACAAAAGCAAAAAAAAAAAAATCATAGCCGTTCTTCTATGGACACGCGTTGCTGGTCGGTAAGCGAATGCCGAAGTCGTACGAAAAAGCAAAAAAAAACCTAGATTTTTCCAATGAATCTCATGAAGAACGGATCTTTGAGGCTTAAGATACTTCTACTAAGAGACAATCTCTTCTACAAGCAATTAAAAACAATCAAGAAGAAAAATCAGTTTAAATTTCCTCAGCTGTAATTTGACTTACCAGTTGCCTCCAATTTGAGTAAATGGAATTAAAATCCATGACCTTTAGGTCTCCGATGCAAACTCAAACGTTTTACCATTGAGTCTCTATGACGTAGCTTTAAATAAGTGAAACATCATACCTCGGTTGGCACCTGGAGCTGGCTTCATGTAGGAGCTATAATGACCTTGTGGCGTGTCAGTCAAGGAAAGCCCTTGTGCCAGATCCTTATAGCGTCGTGGTCTGGTACCACAGTCTACCCTCTCTGGCAGATCACAGTTCATTGTATCTGCTCGGAGAAGCTGGGGTGGAGCGCACTTCTGGCGGTGTGCTTTACCGATGTTACAGATGATGAATCCTGCGCAGTCGTCGGGGTCTGGGTACATGCCACTGTCTCTATTCGCGCAGAAATCTGAGCCGGCTGGAAAAAACAACAACAACAACAACTAACATGGGAGGGGGCATGCACCAGTTTCTTGATATATTATTTTAGAACGAAAATGTGCAAGTTAAAATGTGATTGAACTCTTCATCAAGAGAATTAGCACGTACAGCAAAAAAGAACCGAATCACGTTGTAAATAATGACAGAAATACATTTTGCTTTATTTCTGTCAACGTGTATGCAGATCATTACATTTTATTGTTTTCAAACTACTACCTAGATCAGTTTGATCCTAACAGAGGACGTTAACCTTGTTTGACCTTTTTGTTTCTGTTTATGAGGCCAGTGACCATGAAATTTGTATTAGCCTACATTGCACTGTACCGTCCTGTCCTGGCATGGCATTACATGCATGCAAAGCATTGGTCTGGTCACTCTTTTCTAACTGGAGACCGCATTGACTGCTCACGGAAAATAATTGGAATGCAAAACAAAACAGGTCGTAAGAAATAAAACAAATATGGAACATTTAATCAAAAATATTGTGTTCCCGCTTTGGAATCATAATTAAAACATAAAATAATGTCCGGTGCACAAAGCGCGATAAACGTTTAAAAGAGAAACTTATACTGGGTTTGGGTCAACCGAGTTTCATCAGTCACAATAATCAAAATGATATATAACTTTCCTTAACATTCAAGTTTTTATTGTGGCTCATGAAGCTCGGTTGAGCCCAGAAAATGTAGTCTACTTTTAAACTTTTACTGCGCTTTGAGCACAAGAAATTATGTTATATTTTAGAAATGGAATTCGTGGCGCCTCTTAAATTTACATTTAGCGCCAAAATTGGGTTAGCCTCTTTCAGACGTTCAGTTAGTTGGAGCGCAGCTCCAAAAAAACGGCCAGCGAAAAAATAGGGGAGGAGCGCGGCGAGAGAAAAGCGAAAGAACGCGTTCTTTCCCTTTCTCTCGCCGAGCTCCTGCAATATTAAGGAGCTTAAGCAAACCACGACGACGACGGCAACGAGAACGTCACTAAACAAAAGGTTTACTGAGCAAAACAATAGCTGTGCACGTGCGTCATAAATCTTTGTACATTTCCTTGCTGTCCTCTACAAAACAACAGCGTGAAATGACCAAGTTCTGCGTCGTCTACTGAACGTGGACGACGCTTACTAATTTTTCATATTTTCATTTGGAACTGAACGTCGGCATTGCATATTTAGCCTGGATACGTTTTCAGAGCCATTGGCGTACCGAACAGATCTAGACAATCGCGAATTTCGCTGGGTAAAAAGATGTATAAATTCATTTTTTACTAAGCGTTGTCCTTGGCGTCGTCGCCGTCGTCTTTGCTTAAGCTCCCAAATTTTTCGCGCGCCGTTTTCCGCGCTGGGCCCCAACTAACTGAACACCTGAAAGAGGCTAAACTTGGGTCGCCGCTTCTGGCAACTCGCTTACCCGATGTCACGAGGTAGAACATTAGTTGTTCTGTTCTGAACAAGTAACATGATACAGGTTTTGTTATGCAGTATATGATTTTGGTTTTATACACGCAAATAATGGATCATATATAATCCAAGACAAACTGCTTTACCAGCTCCGCCCCCAGAGGAAGTACCAGGTGCTCCAACGCTTCCTGTAGTTGGCCCCGAGGGAGGGGAGGGTGGACCAGGAGGTGGTGATGGGGCGCTTGGCCCAGGACCTTCACCAGGAGCTGTCGTAGGCAAAGAAACGCAATAACATCTTTTTAAACATCACAAAGAATGAAAACAAATCATTGCAGTGAACTGCTTGCGGTTTATGCCACTCTATATCTCTTGCCGAAAAAAAAATCAGTTTTGTTTTGCTTATGATAATGTTTACAAGATTTTAGGAGGAAACAATTGATTATGTATGATACTTAAATTTACAATGGATATCAATGATACAAATACATCAAAAAAAACTGAGTTTTAACACGGGGATATTATAAAAAGGTCTCAATATTTCGTGTTTCAGTTTCAAAACTGCTACATTACACTTAGAACCTTTCTCTTAAAAAAGCTCTCATATTCTACATTAAACACTGTTCTCTGCAGAGCACATTCGTCTACTTACCCATACCCCCTGCGGGATAAGGAGGTTTGTTTCCTTGGCCTGCGCATTTAATACTGCTTGGACCGGCTGAAAAGTTCAACAACAACAACACGTTAAATAAAATTATGCGACATTTTGTGGACAAATTTGCATAGCGTACACTCCGCGCTATGGTAGCGTTTCAATCCAACGCCCAGCTCGCCCCACGTATCTAGTTTCTTTTTTATGGACTTTCTGTGTTCAACCGACGCGTTTTCTGAGGCAATTTTTAATGCGCTTTAGGTTCCCTTTAAAAAAACTCATAGATCTTTAGCACTTTATTTGCACTCTACGGAATAGCTTACCGCCAAACGCAAATCCGGAAAACTGAACATCACTTAGAATATTTTTATCATTCTCCATGGATGGTAAGACCACTTCCCTCTGTTCTCCTGTCACCGCGGTCACTCGTACAGTCATGGGAAAGTCAACTTTACCCAGACCATCACCAGTAAAGTAATTGTCACTAGTCCTCTTGAGACAAGAATACTTTCCATTTTTAAGGATTTCCATACCAGCTACAGGAACTCTGAAAATTAATTGAAACTAAAAATGACCAACTTTAGCAAAAGCGAATAAGTAAGACTTGAGGGAAATTTATATATTAGCGAAATAAATATACGACGTTTCGACATCGTCGGATGTCATTTCAAGTAAATGTGTAGCTTAGTTTTTGTTACCAACTTGCAACATATTTAATGTGGTTTTTCAAATAACTTTTTAGCCAACGATGTGAAAGAATCTAGAGTGCAATTCACCGAAACTTGCTTCTGACTTCTAATATCTCAAAAAATATTTTTTTTAGTACAAAGTTGAAATGAAAGGTCATTTTAACAAGTTAGATCTGATGTGGAAAAGTGCAAAAGGGAACATGGATGCTTTGCTTAACACATGAAGAGGAACGAGAAAAACCACAATTCATCAAGCTCGTCACAAGAGCTTAGTGGACTGCCTTTTCTATCTCCTTTATGTAAATGTAGGCAAAAAATAATGACAGGGGAAACATTTCTCAGTCTATGGTTAGAAATAGATATTGCAACATTTGGGACTCAACAGTCACTCGCGCATCTTATGCGCGTATGTAATGAAGATATCATTTGTTTATGGTAAATGGTTTGAACCCAGGAGTATCAGTAGTTCGTATAGCAAGATCGTGCGGGTGAGGATAGTTCTGAAAAGAACTGTTGTTGGTAACTGACGTTTCGACAACCTGGGCGGACTAAATTACGAAAATAAATGGTGATCTTACTTGATGTTTCGCGCTTGCAATTTGACATACCACGGGTTGCTTCCAGTAAATCTGAACATGATGTTGCCATCCTTACCCGGGACAATTGGACAGTCAATGGCTTTTGTTTCGATATCCCATCTACCGTCACCAGGGATATACAGGTCATAGCCACCTGCAGTCAACAGGGGTCGTTCAGTCGCGAACAAAATATGGCGGTTGATCGGATGGCTTCTTTGTAACTTCATTCCATGCATATTTAATACTCTACTTCGGTAGTTTTCTTACCTTTTTACCGTTTGAAATCATTATATAATCTCGATATCCAATTCTAAAAGACAGTTGTTTGTATGCAAATATAACCCCAATTTAAGGCTTCTTCGCCCTGGTCCTACCGTTGTGTGACCGGAAAGGGAAGGAAATAAGTTTTTTCAACCTTAAAACCCTTTAACCTTATAAAGTGTTTTCTCATGACGTCACGGTGGCTACATTGATACTAACTTGATGTGGCGGCCATGACGGAATCATTAAAGGAGCTCAGTCGCGGTATTTTGATTCAGTTTGTCCACATACAAAATTACCTTTAAATGGTAGGAAACCTGAAAATAACAGTTTAATAAGATGGAAATACACCAAAGACATAATGATAAACCATAAACGAACAAGGATGGCTAAGGATGGAGAAGATTAACACGGATTTGAAAAATTGAGGCTAAACTTTTCAATATGCGCAAACCGTGACTGTGCTCCTTTAATGCTTGGGTGAAAGACTTTTGTTAGTTTACATTCCTGACAAGGCCCTAAACTTCTTGAGCCAAACCAATCCTGTGGGAGTTGAATTTTTTTCACTTCAGTGGTCTACATTGCAAAGCAATCACTCTGGTTATTTTATGCTCATATGAAAATCACCTTTGCCACAGCCTCCACACAAATCGTGAACAATGGCTTTGGTAACTCCAGTGACGGGATCTAATCCACTTCCTTTTCCTGAACCTGTAATTTCCACGCACATTCCACAGCCGAGAGATTTTTGAAAGTCATCTGAACCTGCAGCCACTCTTATCCAACCGGGCTGAGAAGACATTGGGGAGAGTGGATCTAAAGCGCATGCGCCACCTCCGGGGTACTCGCCGTAGTAGGTAGCCTAGAAATAAGAAAGATTGTCAGTTTACAAAAACTTACCCTGGGCTATTCGAAACCAGATGTACGTTAAAAAGTCTCTGGAAAACTGGATAATGGAAATAAGCCTTCACTTGTTGAGATGATACAACAATGATTTATCACATTCAGCCTCTCTGCAAGTGTCTTTTTTCACCCCTTCATGTTAAATCACGATATAAAAGTGCATCTGAGCAGCAATAACCAATCATCGAAGCCCTAAGAAGCTTTCCATTCAGTTAGACCAGAAATTCCCTTTTTCACATTTCGGAAATTCCTGGTGGCGAATGGAATAACATTTTCTGGAATTTCAGTAAGAGAAGACAAACTTCGCGAGGGATACCCAAATTTTCAAAAATTTCTCACCGTGCAGTTTGATTCTCCTTCAGTGATTTTCGGAGCTTTCGGTTTAGTAGCTCGCATTTTGGAATAGCGATATATATTTTATATAGAAAATTTACTCTTTCCTTTAAAAATTTCCTGGAGGTTATCGGGGGTCAAATGGAAAGTGCCCATTTTATCATGTTAAATAGAATAGCATCAAATACGAAAATTGTTAAAGTATATTCTAGAATATTAATTTGTATGCATCACAGTTAATTTGTATGACATCACGTAGTTGTTAATTAGAAAATAAAATATTTCATGAAGACGGTGAGAATGAAAGGAGCGTTTTTTTTCCCACCTCAGATTTGTACGTTTGTTTGTGCCTTTTGTAAATGTATTCAGCACTAGAGACATCAGTGGCTCGTTTGTGTACAGTATGTTCCTGTACGGTAAGAAACAACAACGATAAAAATTAGTCATAATAAATAAACACACTTTTAACTAGTTAATCGAGTTTTATCGAGTTTAACATCTTTATAATTTACCTCCCGGTTTTCTTCCGCTGGAAATTGCTTTATGTTGCCATTGCAAGTGATTTCCTGAAAATAACAAGACATGTGAGGTTAGAAAAGTATTTGAATTACAATATTTAGGGACCAAGTCACAGCAATAGTAGTTGGTTTTCATGCGGGTCGTTCTATATCCTGGTCGAATTTGAATTTAAAAAAAAATGCAGAAAGCGAAAAACCGGAGAACCCAGAGAAAAAAACCCTTAGAAAACCAAAACCAAACTCAACCTGCACATGAACACAGTACGGAATTGAACCCGGTCAACATAGGTGAAAGACAAGTGCTTTCACCACCTCTCGACAATGTAAGCTACAGATTAATCAACCTGGTCACTCGAGAAAAAGACCACACAGTTATTATGACTTATCTTCTGGGAAAGGTCTTCTTCACAACGTTTATACAGTAATTTTAAATTTAATCATTTTTGGGGCAGGGGTACTCCGGGAAAAAAAAATGGAGGGGTGTGCAGCCCGCCTCCCAAAACCCTTAGCCTATTTAAGACAAAAATTTGCAACTTTCCCTTCCCTATTTATGACCAGAGATTTGATGCCCTATTTAAGACATGTCCCCTGTTTCAGACCTGACTTATAATTAGGTCCCTAGTAAAGTTGTTAAAGATGATTTCCAGTCCGTACTGAGCACTCTCAAGAGTTTGTTTGCGCTTTTATACGATACGATACCTTTTGGGTCCTCACATACCTATACAGCCCATACAAGCGAGTAGTGCCCCCCCGTCCCCTGGGCATTCTGATAACCTGATGTCAACAAAGGGAGAAAAAAAAAAGTACAGTATAAGGTACTTTCGTCTTTTATCAGAAATACTTCTTTTGCTGTTGTTGTTGCTGTTGTTGTTGTTGTTGTTTTTGTTTTTTATCATAGCCAGTACCATTACTTTTTTTACCTGGTTTTTATCGCTCATTATATTGGAGAAACTATTATGGGACAGATCACAGCATGACGGGACTTAAAATTATTATATTTTAATTGTTAGTATGTTCGAGTTGTACACTGGCATTGTCTGTTGCCTATAGGTAAAATTTACTGCATACAAATGTTAACAAAATAGCATTCATTATAATATTTCAAGATAATTTACCTTAAGAAGAAATCCAAGAACGAAGAGTACAAAATATTCCCGGCATATTCCATGGTGATATCGATCCATTTTAACCTGCCGAAGACGAAAAGTAATCCATTGAAAAATGTAAAAGGTCACTACGTTTTAAAAGCTACGATAAAGCAGTAGATAAATAGTGTTATTTTACTAGTGTTTTAACTTGCCACTGCAGTTTTTGCTTTATGTTGCAGCGATGAAACAATAACTAAATCGACTTAAAATCCAATAAAAATAACAAACTAACGCTTTGTTCTCTGTGACAATAGCACTTGAAAATTTACACAAACCACCATAATGCCACCAAAACCAAATAAATCCTCTTCAATCGTTGATCATCTGCTTCAGGTGATGCAGGACAAATTTAATTGAGCTGCCGTCTTTGAGTGACGTGTTTGATCACTCGTTCAAAGATATAGAAAATAAAAAATAAATATATGTGTTCTTGTCAAGCTCTTCGTTTAGGAAATGAAACGAAGTTAGTGTGTTCAACACATCAACGTCTAGAGACACACTTGATTTTGTTCAAAATACCTTGATATATCAATACTCTCCGCAGACAAAAACACAAGTTATTCAATATAGGGGCAACGGGAACATGGAAGTAATTACATACATGTAGGCTGTTAACTATTTCGCCCCTTAGGAATGCTGAGACGTTTGGAAATATCAGCTTCAACTGGACTGAATACGAGATTTTTAAATACTGATCCGTTCCGCTGATAGATTCTTGCTGGTTGAGAAAATTACTTTCAGTAGCTTTCCTGTTGGGAAATTATCACTGAAATCATTGATATCATTACTTTGGGGCTCCATCGATCAAAATCGAGAAAATATCAATGTGTGCTTCCAACATGTACGCACTATCCAGTCAGTTGTTTGACACGAGTCTGGTGCAATATTTGTTGAATAAACTGATGGTTTGACTCAGCTGGGTGAGAAACGGGGAAAGTTTATTTAGCTTGGTGGGGAAGTTCCTAACCATCACGTTGGGAGAAAGCAACACATTACTTTTTTTTTCTAAAACGCAGAAAAAAGAACAAAACATATGCCTCAGAAATACGTCTTATTTCTCTGTTGTAACTGGAATAATGCATCAGTT